AGAGGACAAATGCATAACAGTCCATGATTTAACGTTACTATGTGCTACAAACTATATACCATGATTTTAAAGTATCATAACATGAAGTAAATGAAATAAACCAGGAGTACACCACTAATCCAAATTTCACAGCATCTGATCCTCCTCCAAAGAGCTCCTGAGCCAAAGCTAAAACCAAGGCTGCGGACTGTCTTCCCCAGGAAAGAAAACTCCAGCAGGGATACCAAAAGAATCTAAGTCAATGACTTAACTCTGAGCCCTAGACATTCTTATTGAGTTGAGCTATCAGAGTAGGAGGCTAGGGAGGTATGAAGCTAAGGTGAGTAGCAGGTTTGATGTGGAAGGAATAAAAGTCCTGAGAATAAGGGAAAAGAGAGACTACAAGAATGGTGGGAGACTGAGTAAATGAAACAAGTAAATGAAATGAATTTGAGTAAATGAAATGGAACAAGATTTTTAGCTACTCTGGAACCCTGGGATGAAATCAACTCTTTCTTCCCTGTCAAATCCACATATATTGGAATTGGAATATGTCTGTGTCCATACCACACTGCGTCTGGATTTAGAAATAGAAAATCTGACCCACGCCCTTAAGACTTTTATATTCTTCATTGAAGAGGCAATGAAGATTATGAATGAAGAGGCAATGCAAATTATGTCAACTGAAACAATTTAAATACAGAAATTTAAATACAGTCATTTGAATAGAGACCATTATATCTATGAATCTGAATTATCAGGAGCATTAGTGCCACGAGTCCCAAATTCTCAGGAATTCTTTTAATTTCCTCTTCATGGTATTTCATTATTCAAAAATATAGATTTATTTAATTTATTTTATATTTTGTATTCATTGAGTTTTATCATCATTCTGTCTCAGGAACCCAAACATCCCTGTGCTGTAAAATATGTTCCCCTCTTCAACCTTTGAAGCACCAAGCCCCCATCTCCCACTCCTAAGGTGTAATCTGGTTTCATGAACAACTGCATTAATTAACTATTAATAAATTCAGTATTGATAATGAGTTACTGTTAATCTTAATTGCTAATTAATTAGTTATTGTAAGTAGTTATTTAATAGCTGTTCAGTGTCGGGCACTGTTCAGTGTGCTGGGGATACAGTGTGATTGAAGCAGCCTTATTGCATGTGTACTCTAATGGAGGGACACTGATAATATACAAAGTAAATTGGTAAACTATAAAGCCTGGTAGATGATGACAAAGACCTTCTTACTTAGGGTCTTTCTGGCCAAGTTTTATTTATGAAATACCAGAAAAAAACTGTTTAATCTCTAAGGATAAGGAGATTCTAAGTAATTAAGGCTAGATTAGGAGGTAGTTAAATGAAGTCCTAGTGCTTACATTCCTATTAGGATAGTGCTTTAACTATGGTGTTCAAATGATTGAATAAGATTCACCCATGAGAAAGTGAATCTTGCTCTGCAGAGTCAGCCCCTGCACAACAGCTTCTCCACTGTAGTCAAGGCCAGTCCTCACAACCAATCAGCCTGAGGGTCAGTCACTCCTATTGATGTGCCAAGAGCAGTCAGTGCTCAATTACAATAGGAGGAGGGCACACACAGCCCCCACACAGGACACATCTAGAACACCTGGCTCAGGTGACCAGGGAGACTGTATCATTGGGCCCCACAGGACACCTACTACTAACGCTACTTTCCTAAGACTGGGGGACATAGCAGCACTACCTAATACACAGAAACAAACAGAGGGAGGCAGCCAAAATGGGGAGAAAAAGAAAAACGTCCCAAGTGAAAGATCAGAACAAAGCTCCAGAAAAAGAAGTAAGCAAAATGGAGACAAGCAATCTACCAGATACAGAGTTCAAAACACTGGTTATAAGGATGCTCAGTGATCTCAGTGAGAACCTCAACAAAGAGACAGGAAGCATAAAAATGGAGATAGAAAACATTAAAAAAAGAACCATTTATAAATGAAGAATACAATAATGGAAATGAAGAATACATTAGAGGGAATCAACAGTAGATTAGATGAAGCAGAGGATCAAATTGGCAATTTGGAAGATAAAGTAGGAGAAAACACCCAATCAGAAAAGCAAAAAGTGAAAAGAATCCAGAAATGAGGATAATTTAAGGGGCCTCTGGGACAACATCAAGTGTACATCATAGGAGTACCAGAAGGAGAAGAGGGAGAGCAAGGAATTGAAAACCTATCTGAAGAAATTACGATGGAAAACTTCCCTAACCTGGTGAAGGAAATAGACATACAAGCCCAAGAAGCACAGAGACTCCCAAACAAGATGAACCCAAACAGGCCCACACCAAGATACATCATAATTACAATGCCAAAGGTTAAAGACAAAGAGAGAATCTTAAAGAGCGAAAGAGAAAAGCACTTAGTTACCTACAAGGGAGCTCCCATAAGATTGCCAATTGATTTCTCAACAGAAACTTTTCAGGCCAGAGGAGATTGACACAAAACATTTAAAGTGATGAAAAGCAAGGACCTACAACCAAATTACCCAGCAAAACTATCATTTAGAATTGAAGGACAAACAAAAAGCTTCCTAGACAAAAAAAATACTAAAGGAGTTCATCATCACCAAACCAGTATTGTAAGAAATGTTAAACAGACTGCTAGAAGAAGGAGAAGAGGGAGAGAAGGAGAGGGAGAAGAGAAAGAGGAAGAGGAAGAAGAACAAGAACAAGAAGAAAGAAGAAGAAATGATAAAAATATGAATAACAGGGCCAGCCGAGTGGTGTGTTGGTTAGGCGTTGGCTTGAGATGCTAGCTCTGAGCAGCAGGCCCTGGGTTCAAATCCCACATGAGGGCCAGTGACACTGCGCCCTCTACAGCTAAGATGGTGAACAACAGCTCGACCTGCCATGAGTCGTCGGCATTGGCGTAGGCTGCAGTGGGGCTGGTCAGCAGCTGGCGTGTGCTTTCGTGAGCTGCTGTAAGCCGCAGTGAGTGGCCGTCCAATGGCCGGCGAGTGACTGCCTCACCTGGGAAGAGCTCAATGATAATACCAACATGGGCCAGTGAAGCGACGTCCTCCACAGCTAGACTGAAGAACAAAAGGACAACAACTTGTCTGTTCCCCTTCCCCGATTCCTCAACACTGTTCCCCTCCCCCAATTCCCCAATAAAAAAATCTTTAAAAAATATGAATAACAAAATGGCAATTATAACATATCAATAATTACTTTAAATGTAAATTGATTAGATACTCCCATCAAAAGACATAGGGTGGCTGAATGGATAAGAAAACAAGACCCTTACACATACTGCCTGTAAGAGACTCACTTTAGATAGAAAGACACACACACATTGAAAGTAAAGGAATGGAAAAGATATTTCATGAAAATGGAAACAAACAAACAAAAAAGCTGAGGTAGCAGCAATACCAGACAAAATAGACTTCGAAACAAAGGCTATTACAAGAGACAAAGAAGGACCCAGTAATTCCACTTCTGGGTATTTATCCAAAGAAATCCAAAACACTAATTCAAAGACATATGCATCCATATGTGCATTGCAGCATTAATTACAATAACCAAGATATGGAAGCAACCTAAGTCTCCATCAATAGATGAATGGATAAAGAAGTGGTAAATATATACAACAGAACATTACTCATCCATTAAAAAAGAATGAAATCTTGCCATCTGCAACAACGTTAATGAACCTAGAGGGTGTTATGCTAAGTGAAATAAGTCAGACAGAGAAAGACGAATACCATATGATTTCACTTACATGTGGAATATAAAATACAATAAATGAACAAACAAAACAGAAATAAACTCAAAGATACAGAGAACATTTAGATTACCAGATTGGAGGGAAGTTGGGGGGATGGGTGAAGGGAAGGAAGAGATTAAGAGGTACAAATTAGTAGTTACAGAACAGTTGTGGGGATGTCAAGTATAGCATAGGGAATATAGTCATTAATATTATAGTAACTATGTTTGGTGTCAGATGGGTACTAGATTTGTTGGGATGATCACTTTGTAACTTATATAAATGTCTAATCACTACATTGTACACCTGAAACTAATATTGTATGTCAAGTGCAATTGAAAAATAAAAATTTAAAAAGAAAAAAAAGGTTCACCCATGAGGCTTGTTGACTGTAGATTCACTAACCTATTTCTGGCCCACAGAACCAGTATTTCTTGGAGTGAGTCCCTGAATCTGTATTTTTAAGAAACTCTTCCATGTGATACTCATATTCCTTAAAGTTTGAGAACCTCTGCCTTAGGATAACAGGGTCTGATCCTACCCACACATTTTAAACCTCTTCAAAGGTGACTTGATAAGTGCATATTGTATATTATTCAATAAATGTTATACCACTGTATTCCTTCATTAATCTCCTTCCCCATTTTTGTTGAGAATCTTTCCAAGTTTAAAACAATGAACACTGGACCAACACTTAGAAAAAAATTCAACCAAAAAAAAAAAAAAAAGCAACAACCAAAAGATCACATCAATGCAGTCAAATTAGAAGGACTCAAGGATTTATTCATAATCCTCACTAAATTAAAACCGTACCAGCATCAGGATTAGATTTTAATACAAAGGACAAACCACACTTGTCCACAAATATACTCATTTTAAATTAAAAAAAAATATTGTGTCTACATAAGAATATCAGTACATCTCACTGTTAATTTGAATTAAAATAATTTACAGCCTTTATTTTGTTCTTTGAAATAAAGAGACTAATAAAAAAATAACCCTTCAATTTAAAGTTAATAAGCATTTTTAGAAAACAAACATGTAACATATTCCACTTTTGGAAAAAAAATTAAATTAATGTTTGTTTGTTTTTTGAAATCTTTTAATATTTTGTCACAAATTGTGCTTCCAAAATTATAATTTTTGCTCATCACATTTTTGCCAATCTCTGTAAGGCCACAATTTTTGGCATTCTCTGTGAGGCCTCAGTTTTGTTTGGTCTTTAAATCCTGAATAAAACACCTAGGAACGTGTTTCCATTTGCAGTATTTCCCTTTTAGGTGGAACGGCCACCAGACAGAGAGGCTTTCTGGGATGCATTCGGTCTCTGCAGTTGAACGGGCTGGCTGTGGACCTGGAGGAGAGAGCCAAGGTGACTCCCGGAGTTGAGCCGGGTTGTAGAGGGCATTGCAGCAGCTACGGAAAGTTGTGTCTCAATGGAGGGAAATGCAGAGAAAAGCCCCGTGGGTTCTCTTGTGACTGCACCTTCTCTGCATACACAGGGCCCTTCTGTTCAAAAGGTAGGTAGGACATGGGGAACCTTAACAGGGAAATTTACATGAAAAGAAGTCTGCGAGTTCTTGTCTATGTGGCTATTTGAAACAAACAAAAAAATATTTCCATTTCTCTGGGGTTTTTTTTTTTGCAAATTACCAATTTATGCTAACCACACTTCATTACTTAGGTATTTGCCTCAGTTCTTAAAAAGCTAGTGTCTATTGATGATAAGTCCTCTAATAGTTGCCTCTAGATGTCAAAGTGTTAGCTGCTCAGTCAGCTTTTACCCATCTAATGCTGATGCTCTTTATATGGTTGTCAACAACCTGCCCCTTGGGGCAGTTCCTTCTTTTAAAATAATTTAAGTTATTATTGTGGTTTTTTTTTTTAATGAAGATAAGCAACAATGCTAGAAAATTTAGGAAGCATTGTTATTTTTTTTTCGTTTTTGCCAAACAAATATTTTTCCAGGAATATAAATAACTTTTTCATTAAATTTGTTTTTCATAATTGAAAGAATGCATTTAATAAAAATAGGAATATACAAGGGCCGGCTGAGTGGCTCAGTTGGTTAAGAGCTCGCTCAAGAGTGTGAGCTCTGAGCAACAGCAGTTCGAGTCCTGGCCCAAGCTGAGCTGCTGCTGATCTGCCAACAGGTGGCAGGGTGGTTCAACTAAAAAAAAAAAGAGGAATATACAAATCAATGTATACACTTTAGTGTGACAGGCTGAGGTGCCAAGATAAACATTCTTTAACTAACTGCAGAGGAGTTCATCAGGGATGGTCACCTGCCAATATGCTGTGAAATAAAAAGAGATTGAAAATTCACAACAGAGAACACCAGGCGGGATAAGTGCACATGAACATCATGAAGGAAAATGGCCTAATTTTAGTGCAAAGCAGAAATGTGCAACTAGAAAGACAATGGAAAAGAAAAAAAGTCACCAAATGCATAAAACATATAAGTTGGACAGCATGAAAGAAAAATAAGACCCTGTTGAAAAATGTCCACTAAATATTGATGTATGACAAAATAGAGATTCTCAGGCATTTTGTTTTATGATGGTTGTGAAGTAAAATAGTGGAATATTTTTCAGCTCGCCTTCCTTGAGCTGTGCCATGGAAGAAAAAAAGAACTGACTGTAGTACTGAGTGTTCTCGGCAGACTTCTCTGAATATACAAACATTCGTTATACTTTCAGTTTCTCATAGAACACTGTCATCTAATTTAATTTCAGTTGCTTTATTTAAGTGTTTCTGGGTTACTGAATCTTTTCTGGAAGGAGGCTAACAAAAATTGGCCCCAAATTGAAGCCACTCCCTCACCCCCAATTTGCAAAGAAGGCATTTGGGATTATGTAATGAAAAGTTGTCAAGAACGCACTCTTCAAGTCACCTCCTCTCTCATCAGAAATAAGTTATAATTTAAAGTTAACCTGTAGTCAGAAAACACACACTGGTGCTGTCATCTTTGGAGACCTTTCACGTTTCAAGTTAGAATTAAGACCACTGCGTCACAAGAACATTTCTTCATTTTCTGAATCTAAATGATTTCTGGCTCATCTTGCTAAGTGCAATCAGGAATGTTATTCTGCATCCATATATTATATTGAATATAAAATGTATATGATAGATAAAAATAATAAAACAAATGAAAAATAAAATCTCCTGAAGTGGCAAGGGAATGGAGACCTTGCTTTATTATCAGTAAGCATCATCTACAACTGCTATTCAGCAACTGGCCCTTTGTAGTAATCGAGAGAAGCAGGGTTCAGGGGTCCAAAACTGACTCTCTCCCCCACTGTCCTCTTCATTTTTTTCATATGTATTTGGTGTGCGTGTGTGCACGCACACTCGCATGTGTGAATTTGGGATAGTAATCTCCTATAAGTGCCATACCATCCTTTTGTAAAATGATTCAAAAGAGCCTGCATAGTTGCTTGTGTGGATCGCTGGATTTAGCAGTCGTTTTGCAGAGCACAATAAATAGGAGAAAATATTTAGGCAGAAAGGAAAATTTCTGCCCGTTGATCCTAGAAAGTAAGAGGACCCCTCAAACTTCCTTTCTTCCTATTACGGGATGGCCAGTGTATTTCTAGCTATAGAATAATAGATGGGCCTTAAAATTTAAATACGAAAATGGGTGGTAAGGGAGATGAAAGTCAAGAAGCCTGATTTATGTCT